AGAGCGTTGTCAATATAAAAGGCACGTCTATTCATGTATTTGTATACTTCTGAGTTATACAGGGCCAAACGGTTCACAGTTCAATCACGCAGCTACCTAGTGCTGGTTTCGAGACAAGCACCGCCTCCTCCAAAGCCTCTTGTGACATTTCTGTAAACCTTTTGCGGTAATACTGCTCAATGAGGGCGTTCAAAACAGAGTCGGCGTTATCACTGGTCACTAAATGAACCGTACAGCCACCCCAACCCGCACCAGTGAGCCTGGATCCATAGGCTCCATTACTTCTGGCAATCCGGCACAACTCATCTGTTTCGGGGCAAGAGCATCCGTAAAGCTTGTCACACGATTCTTGTGATCCGTTCATCATCGCGACCAAAAGACTCTAGGAAGTGTTCGTCAGAACCTGCTTTCCGGCTGGTGAGCAATTTCAGTGCTTGCAACACACGCAACGATTCTGAGTACACATGCTTGGCTCTTTGATACAGCTTCAAAACATCGAATCTGACTGGAAAACTCGTCAAGTAATCTTTGGTGAACTCCTGCACAGAGCATTGCAGGGCCTCTGCGGCATCTTCAACGGTGTAGCCTTCACGCTGAGGGAGAGTCTGTTCGACCACTTCTAGCATTTCATTAAGCATTTTGATACCGTCTTCTATGTTTCCGTCCCAGGATTCCGAGGCACCGTGAACACGGGAATAATAGGCGTCCATAAACTCCCGCAGTGTTCCTTTCTGCAAATTTCCAGTCTTACGCAAGGCAACCTTGAATTTTGAGGCAAGCACATTAGCGGCAACTGTCACCTCAACGACCCGTAGATTGTAGTTTGTAGGCGCTGTCTCAACTTTATTCGACACCACCATTGTGTTGGCGATTATAAATTGGATTTCCGAATGCTGCAGCTGCGGGAATCGGAAGGATGTAGCCTTTAGCTGAGGCTGAAATTCCACGTAAAGAGCATGGTCCACCTCACCACATACTGACGCAGCTTGATCCATGCCTCCATTGTTGACTCCAACGTAGTGCTCTGCCTTGACAGTGATTTTGGTGAGCATTTGTTTGGATATTTTGTAGCTCTTTTCGGTATTGGCGCGAACGACAGCCAATGCCACGGCGCAAATAAACGCCGCAGAAGACGACAGACCACCCCCTGTTGGCACGTTGCCACTCACAAACACTTTCATGCCTGCCAAGGATGCGTTGCCGAATTTTTCGGGAAACTCTGTTTTCAGCTGTTTTTGCGCCACCAGAAGCCCGCACTTGAAGTAGTTGCTCCAGTCCGATACCGAAGGGTCGATGGAGACGTCAGAACCGTCCAATGGAAGTTCTATGTGACGCTGAGCAAATGCTTTATCTTCGTTGGTTAAGGTTATTGACAGGCCTTTTCCTGCAGCCAAAACGCCCACAGCACACAAGACATCTGCCTCAATGGCCATTGGAAGCACAGAAAAGTCTTCATAATCGATGTGCTCGCCAATGAGATTTCACTCTTCCTGGCGATCTGCTAACGAAATCGGGTTTTTCATCATAAACTTTTTGAAAATCGTTGACGACACGATCTACACGGGTCTTGTGACTTGGAAAAAAGATCCCGACTATTAATTAAAGGAACTGACATCTTCAAATATCAGATATATGAACTGCTGGGAGACCAAAGATCATTGTATAAAGTGTTTTTCCAGTTCGTTATAAGCCATTGCCGCTTTCTGATCCAACGGTTGTCTTCAAATATCTTCCTAAAATTATTCTCTTTTGAATCCGGCGTACTGTTGTTCGAAATCCGGGGTACTGTTGTCTGAAATCCGGGGTATTGCCACTATGAGGAGACAATTACATAATTATGTTTTCAGGTCAAACGGCTCTGGAACCTCGTTGTATTCACATAAATAGACGGAATGTAAGTACTGGTGTGTCCCTTCCTTCTTCAATAGAGCACTAAGAGCTTTTCTCAACAATGACAGGTGCTACAAGAAATAGCGACAAGTGGGTACTGGTCACTGGTGGAGCCGGCTACATTGGATCACACGCAGTGGCTGAGTTGATCGACAGTGGTTACAAGTGCGTGGTGGTGGACAACTTCAGCAACTCATGCTATGAGCCTATTGCGAGACTACAAGTGCTGAGTAAAACCGAAATCCCATTTTTCAAAGTGGACTTGATGGATGGGCCCGCTCTGGAAAAAGTCTTTGAGCAGTACAAAATCGATTCTGTGATTCATTTCGCTGGGCTCAAGGCCGTTGGGGAGTCTACCAAGATACCACTCACATATTACCACAACAACATTACGGGACTGTGGTTCTCCTGGAGACGATGAAAAAGTTTGGCACATACAAGCTCGTATTCTCGTCGTCAGCGACAGTATACGGCGATGCCACCAGGTTTCCTGACATGATTCCCATCCCTGAGGAGTGTCCCACGGGCCCTACCAACCCTTACGGAAAGACTAAGCTGGCCATTGAAGAAATTCTCGAGGACTTGCACACCAGCGACCCCGAAAAATGGCGGTTCGCAGTTCTCCGATATTTCAACCCAATCGGGGCACATCCTTCGGGTCTTATAGGCGAAGATCCTCTGGGAATTCCCAACAACTTGCTGCCTTCCATGGCTCAAGTTGCTGTGAAAAGAAGAGAAAAACTGTTCGTCTTTGGTAACGACTATAACTCTCGCGACGGCACTCCCATACGCGATTACATTCACGTCGTAGACCTGGCTAAGGGCCACATTGCTGCTTTAAAATATTTGGACCAAGTGAACGACAACCAGGGTCTGTACCGGGCGTGGAATTTGGGTTCCGGAACCGGATCCACCGTGCTTGAAGTCTACAAAGCTTTTTGCCAAACGTGTAGTATTGATTTGCCATATGAGATTGTGGGACGTAGAGCTGGTGACGTGCTGAACCTGACTGCCAAGCCCGACCGGGCAACAAAGGAGCTCAAGTGGAGTACGCATTTCAAGGTCGCAGATGCATGCGCAGATCTATGGAATTGGACGACAAATAATCCATTTGGATATCAATTGCTAGGTGTTGTGGATACCTTCTTTGGCACGCCAAATGAGTATGAATCGCGACTCGTAACTATTGGCCGCGGTTCCGGGTTTGAAGTCTCGCTGAGCAATTTAGGAGCCAGCATTGTGGATCTGAAGGTTGATGGCAAGTCTGTCACACTGAGTCTCGCGAATGAGTCAGAGTATCTCGATGACCGTAACCCATACTTGGGCGCCACCGTGGGACGCTACGCCAATCGCTTACGTGGCGGCAAATTTAGCATTGCGGGTGCTGAGTATCAGTTAGACTTGAACGAAAGCGGCGCTGCAGTTCACAGCTCGTCCAGTTCGTATCACAAAAGGCGCTTCCTTGGACCTCTTGTCATTAATCCTTCAAAACACAGATACACTGCGAAATTTGTGCTTTTGGATACTAATACGCAATTCCCCGGAGACGTCTTAACAAAAGTTACTTATGAGATAGACATCCAGGCTAAGGAGCTTACAATTGAGTATGAAGGAGAACTTCTGCGTGGTGAGGCTACCATAATGAATCTTACGAACCACACATACTTCAACCTTAACACATTCCAAAACACTGGATATGATGGCACCAATGTAAAGATCCTGTCCGATCAAGTTGTTGAGGTTGATTCCAAGGGTTGCGCTACTGGCAAAATTACCAAGGTCCCTGATGTCTCGGCATTAACGCTGGCCAAAAACGGACCTCAATTTGACACTTGCTTCGTTACCGGAAGCAAACCTTCTATAGACACTCGCAAAAACAGTTTGAAGACTGTTTTGCAAGCTTACCACCCAGAGTCAGGCGTCAAACTTACGATCTCTACCACCGAGCCCAGCTTTCAATTCTATACCAAGGGACCCGGTTTCTTGGAAGAGTATGGAGAGAGATTAGGTTTCTGTTGTGAGCCTGGTAGATTTATTGACGCTGCGAACATTTCAGAATGGAAAAGTGCCGTGACTCTTACAAAAGAGGAGGTTTATGGGTCCAAGATTTCCTACAAGTTTGACTAGAAATCTAGTTTAGCTTGTGACTAAGCGAGTAACATTTGTTCACCGCAGAATAGGTATTTTATTGTTTGTATATCTTCTAATTCATACACTTATAGAAACAAAGATGCACTGGCCTATTTTAGTTTTGGAAAGACTCCGATCAGACAAGCACAGAAAAGACGTGGGCTACTTTATAATTTATTTGTGAATGAAACATCTACAAAGACTTATTTAAGCAATTGAGGAGGGCATGAGATATTCAGGCAATCCTCTCACATTGGGCTGAGTGATGACATATTTAAACGTCCGTTCAAGTTCCTCAGCGGCAATGAGAAGACGAAAACCCTTCTCTGTGCACTGAGCATTTTAAAGCCTGACTTCATTTTGCTGGATGAACCAACAAATCACCTGGACAATATAGGAATTGAATGGTTAGAGTCTTTTTTGAAAAGATACACGGGCGCTGCTGTAATTGTTACTCACGATCGTAGTTTAATCAATGCAGTCTCCGACATCATTTCGGAACTGTCACCTCACACC